GGCTATCTGTGCTCTGCCCACCACGGGTATCGAAACCCGGATTATGGCGTTGCAAGTCCGCAGACACACCACTGTGCCACTGGGGGAGGGGGGGGTGGTCACATTAGCTGGTCAACAGCACTCACTACCATATTTTGGGCTAGTCTTATCTGATCGAATAGTGGGGCTTGACAATCACTCTTTTAATAGCCCCAAAGTGTGAAGAATGGCTTTGCGGAAACAGGTGTGTGAAATCACAAACCTCTGGAAATGCAGTTCAGGCAAGCTAACCATTAGGTCACATCCGGCCACTTTCTAAATATATAATGAAAATCAGTTTACGTAAATGGAGACTTTTTTCTTTAAGCACTCAGCAAAAATCACACGGGAAGACATTTCCGTATGGCAAGTTTTATAATCATGAAATCATGAAGAAATCAATAACAGTATATTGTAATTTATTTCTGCGTTAAAACAAAAGTCATTTGTTCGTTATGAAACTTCATTTCTTATGAAAATGAAATAAAACAGGAACGTTTCATATTAATAGAAAACCTATCCACGAAAAATGGCATAAAATATTCATAAAAAGATCATCACAGTTGTGCCGTAAATATTTCACAACTAGTTTAATTTAGTTATCTCTTTTTATGGTGTGTAAGCCTTTTCCAAACCAGCAAAGAATGATTACTAGTATACTTGTCATAAGACATTAGTGTTAGGCCTATTACATTTTTAAACATTTATCTCATCCCTTAAGGATTATCAAGAATTAAAAGAGTGAATATGTAATAGGCCAATACTAATGCCTTATGATAAGCATAACTGTATATTTTGCTTTCTTGTTAGTTAATTTGAATAACTTGTATTTAAAATACTGTTAAACTATAAGTAAAATATAGATAATAAACAACCCACCACTCAGCCCTTGTAATCTCACTCAGAACAATAAAATCAAAATAGTTTAGTTTATATTTAATCTAAAATATCTGTACTCTTATTCATAGCTTGAATAACTGCATAAAATTGAATATTCACTACCGGCACTTGTGGTTAAAAGTTTAAAAATTATAATAAGAATTAAAAACAACGTTTTATATTTACACAATAAAAACTTTATTGAAGCCGTACAGCTTCCGCTTTAAAAATAGAAATATCACTCACTTTACGTACATGTTTCGACGTGATCTACGTCATCCTCAGGAGTAACTTACAAGACTTTCCCCTTGTCGCATTATTTCATTGTTATTTGCACATTTCCTTGGTGTAATTGAAAAATAAATAAATAATATATCTCGCCATATATCAATGTATTGACTTGCTGGTCCTTCATCTCTATTTAATATTTGTTTTTGTTTTTTATATTTCATTATTTCTAATGTTTCTCTAATATTTAATGATATAAAACGTCGAGGCTTACTTAAAACTAAAGTTCCCCCCCCTCCCCCCCCATAATATTGTATGTTCGGTAGTTTTTACATGTTCGGCTATAGCTGAAATTTCTATTTTATTATTTCTTATGTAAGTTTTGTGTTCTTACAATCTATATTTTTATTTATTTTTTTTAGTTTAACCAGTACAAACACTACCACATTCACATTCTATTTTGTATATACCTGTTTTATCTGTTAATTCTATTTGTCTTTAGCATTCCCTATCATATCTTTTATGGTACTTATTGGTTTGAAGATAGGGTAAAAATTCTGCTAGTTTTTAAATACTTTACATAATTGACTTGTTAAACCTGGAACGTAAGATAAACTAAGAGTTTCTTTTTTGTTTTTTTTCATAAACAAATTTTAATGTAGTATCTTAAACTGAATTTAAATTTTCGTTAAACTTCTTAAATGCTTTGTCTACTATATTTGGTTCAAATCCTCTATCAATAGCTAGATACTTAATTAATAACAATTCGTTACTTAAATCTTCCTGTCTTGAACATATGTTTAAAGTTCTATAAACATATGTATAAAATGCTGATATTTTTGTTTTTTTTTGTATATGACATGATTTTTTGTGTAGCGGTATAAGAACAACAAAAGGTTTTTATACCCTGATGTTTCTAAGTTACTTTCTGCTTCTTTCCTAACTAATACGTCTAAGAAATTAATGCTATTATTATCATCAATTTCAAATGTGAGTTTAACTGCTGGTTCTTTACTATTTAAATAACTAAAACATTCTTGTAGTTTGTTGTTGCCATGTCGCCGCACCACGAATGTGTCATTTACATATCTTATCCAAACTTCTGGCTTAAATTTAGCGTTATTCACGTCGAAACATGTACGTGTAGAGTGATATTTCTATTTTAAAGTGGAAGTCGTACGGCTTCAATAAAGTTTTTATTGTGTAAATATAAAACTTTGTTTTTAATTATTTATTATAATTTAAAAAAAAAACTGCATAAGTTGTATCGCGACGTGTATTATTGTAGGGTACTTGCCATTTTCAACCCTAGCGGCAACTTATGCAACACTTTGGCTAAATGGTCAGACAAGAGACAATTAAGATTAAGGCCTAGCCACCCCATTTTTGAACTGTTAATTAGAGGGGAAGCAATGAGTTAATATTTCTCGCCACCTGTACGGTTCTTCTCAACGAATAGTGAGATTTTACTATCAAACCTTTATGCCTCAAATAGCTGAGTGTGCGGGGCGTATTCGTCAACATATCACAATTTCAATCTTACTCCAGTACGCTAATCCGGCCTAGTCTTAGGAGGTTTACTGTGTATAAAGTACAATTCCACCCATTAAACACGGTCTATCACATTTTTAGTTTCGTGAGTAAGAATATTTCATGGTGTATGACCTTGTTTTAAAATCACATATTACTAGTGAATTGATATTGCCTGAGAAATAGCTTTAATTAAGATGGTTTGATAACTATATGGTACAGCTCTAGTAACCTAACTTTTTTCCAGAAGCATTTTCTCTGATAATAAAAATGGTTTTGCTTTAAAATGGAGACATTATTGTAAAAGCAACTTGGTGATTTTAAAATTTAACTCGAGTTGAAAACTAGTATAAAATTAGTTTCTAGTTTAGCATATGCTTGTATCAAGGTTTGTTTGTTTTAGCACAAAGCTACAATACGGTATACGAGTTGTCCGCCGCGGGGATGTTATTCTGATTCAGCGTTGTAAGTCCCCGAGGTTTTAAGCACGTTGTATGTCATATATTTAGGATTTCTTCCTACCCATAAAAGTGACTTGAAATTCTTCTTATTTGTTTTCATTTTACTCTATCTTTTTTTAAATTCTTCCCGGTAGCTTAGCGGAAAATCCGAGGGCTTATACGCTAAAAATAGAGTTTCAATACCCGCTGTGAGCACAGCACAGATGGCCCGTTGTGTGTAGCTTTGTGGTTAATAGCAAACAAAACAAATAAACAAACTCTTTTTTTTTAGGATTTTTGAGAAAATCGTGCATTTTTGCTCCAATATTGTGGACCAGATCCCCCTGTCGTTTATTTTGGGTTTTTTTGTGACGTTCACGGCCACCAGGTGGTGGAATCAGTACATGGCCATTCCTTGGCCTGACAAGTAAGTTTAGTTACAACTTTAAGTGACCTACATGACACTTAAACATATTTAAGCTATATATTTAAAACTAAAAAAATCCAATACTGACCTTCTCTTATCGACTAAAAATTATTTGGTGTTTATAACCTAGAAAGTAATAGTCTTACATTATAACCATTTTTTTCAACTTTACTTTTTAGTGAATCTAAAAAAAAATCATTATTTATTTGAACCATAATTTTCCTCTTTCTAAAAAAATTAAAATTATTTTAAATAAAATTAATAAAACAGTATGTGAAAAGGAACTCCACTGACCACCACAAAACAAAAAAGTATTGTATTCGTACTCACCGTTAAAAAGCGTTACAGTTTAAAGTAGAAGTGGATGACTTGTTCCTTTGGATAGCTCAGTTGGTAGATTTAATTACTTTTATCGCTAACGATCCTGCGTTTAAATCCCATTTCCAGTTTGTTTGTTTTTCCATTTACAATGATATCGATATCGAACTTTACTTTCATTGACTCGTAATATGAATTAACTAATTTGTAAATTAATTTAAAATATCTCCGATTTTGGTTGGAACTTCGTTGTACAAAAGCCATTGTAAATTTTATTCTATACTGGACTAAACCTAAATTATGTTCATAGTTTGAAAGTAAAGCTTTTTTTTTTAACGTGAGGTCTTCATGAAACTGTGTATTGCTTTCCCCTTATTTTTCGCTGTAGGATAATGAACATCATATCCCTGTATCTGCCAGGAACCGACGAAAACAGCCGGATATTTCGTCGAACTCTGATGCGATACCTGAACCTTGCCCTCGTTCTGGTGCTGCGTTCCATCAGCATGGCAATGAAAAGAAGGTTTCCTACAAAAGACCACCTGGTGGAAGCTGGTAAGTTTCTAAAGGACGACTTTACGTCGTAAATGGCTAAATATAATTCTTTACGTTTGTTTATTTTGGGTTGTTTATTGTCACATTAATGGGTAGTTTTGTTTTTTGCACTCGGACTGAAGCATCCATTTACAGGTTGGAAACTAAATTATAAGGACTTAAGACTAGCTGACTAAGCTTCACAATTTTTGCAATTTGTATTTGTGCTAAAGCCATACTTAATTTGAAATGCTAACCAGAGGAAAGGTAGCTATTTAGCACACCCTGCCACCCACGCTAAGAGATTAACTGTCACTCCTATAAAACATTCACAGTTTAAAGAGTAGGGGGATATCTTGTGGTATCGCATAGATTCGAACCTGGTTTGTCAGCTCCAAAATCCAGGGCTCTATCACAACGCCAACTCACGTCCTTTTTTTTTTTTGCAACTCAAAGAATAGTAGTTTTATTATTTTAAACTTTATTTTCTTCGTCAACTACTAAATAACGTTAAGACATGCTTTTTCGCTGACTAAGATTACATTAGTGTTGTTTCTAAGGTGATGCCCGTGTTCGCGTTTTGTATACACAGATAAAATGGAAAGGTTTTATTATATTTTCCGATTCATTTTGGAAAATTTAGACTTTTTCAGCTATATTAATTTCAACTTAGATGTCAGTGTGGTGTATATTTTGTGTTTGATTTTCAGATCTTTAACTATATACCACACACACGTTTTTCCAGGTTTTATAACGAAGGCAGAACTGGAGCTATTTCTGTCCGTTCCCTCTGTCGAATTCAACACCTTCTGGATTCCTTGTACGTGGTTCATCAATTTGCTACGTGAAGCCAAAGAAGAGCGTCGAATTACTGATTCTAATGGGCTTAAACTCATTATGGAGGTAAGTTAACGTTTCCTCAAATGTAACAAAAAAAAAGATAGAATGTAGAGAATGCGGTTTCCTTATCGCTTTAGTTACGTCTAAACAAAATACGCATAATTCTTATATATCAACTAAACTTATTGGCACTTTTGGGCAGAAACACACCGTATTTGGTGTTTGTTTGTTTTGCATTTCGCGCAATGCTACACGAGGGCTATCTGCGCTAACCGTCCCTAATTTAGCAGTGTAAGACAAGAGGGAAGACAGCTAGTTATCACCACCCACCGCCAACTCTTGGGCTACTCTTTTTACCAACGAATAGTGGGATTGACCGTCACATAATAACGCCCTCACTAAAACTATCTTGAAATTTCAATCCCTTTCATAAGTTATAAACCGGATACACTTATATAGTCAACATATTTTTGTAGAAAGTATATAATACTTTTGATTATATTTACTGATATTAACTTTGTATGATATTCAGATACACTGATATCCGGAATTGTTTAGTAGATGAAATAAATACAAATTCACAAGTTTCCAAATACCAAAAGTTTATTCACACAAATAAGTAATGTGCAAGTGTTTTACTTGACTGGCTGGCATCCAGTTCACAACTAAGGCTAAATGGCTGCTGGCGAAGAGTGCCGAATGAACCCAAAACGTCCGCACAGGACAAGGATATGATCAAGAATAATGAAAGTCAAACGATGGTTCCATTGCGGTATCCCCATATCCTTAGATTACCTATGTTAATTATCGATCCAATTAAACTTACTCAAAGAAATGTAAAACTTTAACTCATAGTAACTTGCCCCCCAGTGGCACAGCGGTATGTCTGCGGACTTACATCGCTAGAAACCGGGTTTCGATACCCGTGGTGGGCAGAGCACAGATAGCCCATTGTGTAGCTTTGTGCTTAATTCCAAACAAACAAAACATAGTAACTTGTACAAGTTTCTGTACCACATCTTGAAATGAGTATGACCACACTCTGGGAGAACATGACAGAGGAACAGGGCCAAGCGATTATAAGTCTTATGTTTGCACGTGCGAGACCAGGTAAGACAGTCTATGAGAGTGAAAAATAAGTATTAGATAAAAATTGGAACATTGGCGCTGCTGGCGGATGAAAGGTAATAAAGTGAAATAAGTTTACAACGAATTCCGTGAAATAATATAAGTATGTCGTCATGTAATTAAATTGACTTTGATTGACAGTGAGTGGGCAGGACTTTTGTTGCATTCTAGGACACTACAGATTCTGATGGTATTCTGATTTCAACACCACACCTCTGGTTCTGAAATGGGAGTAAGGGTGAGAAGGACAGGGTGATGAAGAGAAAAAAAAGGATTTTTATGGCTTTCTGAAAGGTCAATGCGTTTTACTTTCCTAACCTTAATATCCTCGTGGATATTTCAGTCAGTCTGGTCAGGATACTGCCTGACCCAAGGGCTTCTATGAACTTAGGGTGAAAAATCTTTATTCCACAACCGTGTTTTAAAACAGGTGGATCCAACACTTTATGGACTCCAATGGGGAGGCAGAAGGCATTATAAACAACCTGTTCGTGTTCAATCTAATATTGTTTTTGGAGATCAAAGTCGAAGAATCGAACCCCGGATTTTAGCGTTGAAAGTCCGTAAACTTACCGCTATTCCACCGGGAGACCTAAGATTGATTATGGAGAGGTTGTGGAAAAGTGATCCGCAGTCCAAAGTAAAGCGAGTGTCCTACTAATTGAGTCCGCTGGTGGGAAAGCAGCATGTCTATGGAATTACAACGCTAAAATCTGGGGTTCGATTCCCCACGGTGGACACAGCAGATAGCCCAATGTGGCTTTGATGTAAAACGAACGAACCAACTAACTGAGCTAAAGGGTTAACCTTACAACTACTGATAGTAAGGTACATTTTTATAATAACTTAAACTACCACACTGTCACCATAACGACATTCAGACGTGTAGCTTAATGTTAAAACTGGTGTTGTCTTCCAGACATTGTAAGGACGAATATTTTTGGTTTTATATGCTACAGCTATATGTAACATCAAATAATATCAACAAGAAGGTTTGGAGCAGTTTCTTTTTATTTAAAAAACAGCCAATAATATTGTGATACCTTGATTTTTATAATCTAAAAGTTAACTACTCTGACTACAGAAAGGAAATAGTGTCTTCTCTTGAATAAGGAAACCTTGCTTTGTACAAAGTTCTGAAGTGTCCTCGTCACGCAATAAGGACTTCTTGCCTTGTATAGATCTTCCACGTAAAGTGCCTTCACTATGCAGAAAAAATAGGTCTTAATCTGTATAAAACTCCCAAGTGTCCTGTTACACGAAAAGGAAGTCTTATTGTGTATAAAACTCCAAACCGGAGTGTCCTCATTACGAGTAAAGAAAGTATTGTCCTGTATAAAACTCCCAAGTGTCCTGTTACACGAAAATGAATTATTGCACCGTATAAAGTTACCCTGAAATGAATTTTTAGAAGATTCAGCCTCTTCAATAATAGACACATTACTGTTTCAATTGTAAGTAAATAAATAAATAGAAAAACTGAATATATATATATCTTTATACCTGTTTGTTTAACCCGTTTTTCCTAATAATACAATTACAAAGAAACATATGATTACGACCTATGTTATAAATTTTCTACTGGATCATACAATGACTTGCATATATTCTATATTATTTACTGAACTAAATATGTTCCTTCATCATACAACTACTGAAGTATCATAGGTGAACTTAAGCCTATCGGTCTCCGAATGTTGGGTTAGTTATGTAAAACAGTGGAACTTGTAAAACTTGTGATCGAAGAAATAAAGACTTTCTTTACCATTAAGGGGGTTGGAATTGGAATACTTTTTTTTACTAAATAATTTCAAAAACTCCGCACAACAATATAAATCATTACATTTTACTAACTTGAATTTGTTCCTTCGTGATATAAATGTTGAATATGAATGTTCAAATATCCACGTGATCACACAATATCAGATTCATTTACATATTTCTTATCATTTCCAGGAGTTCAATAATTTTCGTTCCAAATGTGGATTACTCTGGAGTTACGACTGGATTAGCATTCCCCTTGTTTACACTCAGGTATGTAACTTAGCTTACTAATTTAATGTTATGTCACTTAGCTTACTAATTTAATGTTATGTGATTTACCTTACTACTTTAATGTTATGTAATTTAGCATACTAATTTAATGTTATGGAACTGAGTATACTAATTTAATGTTATGTAACTTAGCTTACTAATTTAATGTTATGTAATTTAGCTTACTAATTTAATGTTATGTAATTTAGCATACTAATTTAATGTTATGTAATTTAGCTTACTAATTTAATGTTATGTAACTTAGCTTACTAATTTAATGTTATGTAATTTAGCTTACTAATTTAATGTTATGTAACTTAGCTTACTAATTTAATGTTATGTAACTTAGCTTACTAATTTAATGTTATGTAATATAGCTTACTAATTTAATGTTATGTAACTTAGCTTACTAATTTAATGTTATGTAACTTAGCTTACTAATTTAATGTTATGTAACTTAGCTTACTAATGTAATGTTATGTAACTTAGCTTACTAATTTAATGTTCATCTGATCAATATTACTGAAGTTTTATTTTCTTTATTTATGAGACTTGTTAAATCAGATTCTTCTTAATTCCACTTTTACATAAACAGATCGAAGAATTTATCAAGGTAACGTTACCTACATGCTTTAATCGAGGTAACTTAAGCAAATCTTTCCAAATAATGGCATATATTAAACGAAACTTTGTTCGCAAAACGCATTTAAGGCCTAATCTTAAATGAAACTAACTTAGCAACGAAATTTAATTCGCAACATGCATTTAAAATTTAATCTCACCTAGCAACAGGTATGTGTTAAATGAAAGTTACTTAGCAACAGACACGTGTTAAACGAAACTTAGTTTGGAACACGCATTTAAAGCCTAATCTTACCTAGCAACAGCCATGTTAAATGAAAATTAGTTAGCAACAGGCATTTAAGGCCTAATCTTCTCTAACAACAAACATACTAACCTAAAGTTTACAAGACACTGGCTGAAAATCTCAAAAATGGTGGATCGAAAAGACGCTACCAAAAACAATACTAAGTACCAGGAAAAGTGTTATGTTTTGTGCAGCAAGATCAATAAAATGAAAGGGCTAAAAATAACTTGCATAGATGTTAAATACACCAGTGATAAAAGAAGACTCCAGTTATGGATGGTGAAGACAGAGATCATAAAAAATTTATTCCCAGTGGCTCATAACGCCAAAAATCGCATTTTTCGATACCTTGAGCAGAAAAGGGCATCTGATGTAGCTACGTGGTTACCAAGAAACAAAAAAATCTGTTGAAATTTTTTTTATATGAAACAATAAATTGTTCATACAGTTGCGGTTTTGGTCAAACTTTAAAATTGTTCAAAATGTCTAGCGTGGTCGGGTAAAGGTTACCACTTGAAAAAATCACACGATAAACATAGAATTAGTATCCTTATTAAGGGTTCCGTTTTGATCCATTGTGTTCAGTTTATTTATTCGAAGGTGAACTTTTTAAATATATTTTTTTGGTCAAAGTTGGAAAATAATTTGAATATGTCTGTTGTTTGAAACTAGTGAACGTCAGTAGCTTTAGGAAAACGTTTCAAACAACATTTCCAAGAGTTGGCGGTGGGTGGCGTTCACTAGCTGCCTTCTCTCTAGTCAGATAGCCCTCAAGTAGCTTTGGGTAAACGTTTCAAACAACATTTCCAAGAGTTGGCGGTGGGTGACGTTCACTAGCTGCCTTCTCTCTAGTCAGATAGCCCTCGAGTAGCTTTAGGTAAACGTTTCAACAACATTTGCAAGAGTTGGCGGTGGGTGACGTTCACTAGCTGCCTTCTCTCTAGTCAGATAGCCCTCGAGTAGCTTTGGGCAAACGTTTCAAACAACATTTGCAAGAGTTGGCGGTGGGTCCGAGGGCTATCTGAATAGAGAGAAGGCACCTAGTGAACGTCACCCACCGCCAACTCTTGCAAATGTTGTTTGAAACGTTTGCCTAAAGCTACTCGAGGGCTATCTGACTAGAGAGAAGGCAGCTAGTGAACGTCACCCACCGCCAACTCTTGCAAATGTTGTTGAAACGTTTACCTAAAGCTACTCGAGGGCTATCTGACTAGAGAGAAGGCAGCTAGTGAACGTCACCCACCGCCAACTCTTGCAAATGTTGTTGAAACGTTTACCTAAAGCTACTCGAGG